AACGCAAACAGCCAAAAGGGACACATTTTGACAGGAGCTCAGCGACCGCTATCACAGCAAACTGATACGTAGTGAACGTAAAGCATAGGACGTTATCTCTAAAACTAAAACATAACTGGACGGAATAAACTCCTACCTCTTATTTACAAACATCTTTCACTGAAACTTTTCAGCTGTGAAACTTGACAGATGACTCCTTGTATCCATGGGAACTCTACTAGCACGCCGAAAAAGGGCATCTTGCCATCAAGCTACGTGTCACACAAACCCTTCTCCAGTGTTTACCTGTTAAAACGCAATGTTTTGTGAATAAAAGCCAACGTCATATGACACTTACCGAGCCGTACCTAGCGTTTAGGATTGTTTGTTCTTCACAGGTCGCTCTCTGTCAGTCAGGATGTGTTTTGGCTTCCTCCTGCTCTCTCTCTCTCTCTCTCTGAGTGTCTGTAACCTTCATTCAGACGGGACTGTTCTCGCAGACTCTCCAGAGGCTGGACAAACTAAACTCACCGCTCTCCATTAACCCCTGAGTTTCTCTTGGGTAGTGAGCTTACGTTGTTAACACGTACTTCACTTATCGTTCTCTGTCAGTCAGGATGTGTTTGGCTTCCCCCTTCTCTGTCTCTGAGTGTCTGTAACCTTCATTCAGACGGGACTGTTCTCGCAGACTCTCCAGAGGCTGGACAAACTCAACTCACCGCTCTCCATTAACCCCTGAGTTTCTCTTGGGTGAAGAGCTTACGTAGATAATAGTCTATATTCACTTCATCAATGGGGACATTTAAAAGGTAGACTATTTATGATAATAATATTAATAATTATATATATACTTATTAATATTATTATCATTATTATCATAAATACCTTTTAAATGTCCCCATTGATGAAGTGAAGTAGCCTATTATCAAATGAATGCGTAGCTAAACCTACACTTACGTGAAAAGGAGAGAGAGCGAAAAGATTGACTTTAAGTAGGCGTACCTTTTAGTATTCATAGTATTCCATTATGTCTTTCATTATCTCATAATAACTTATTTCTTAGCAGCTTAAAACACATAAGCGACAGGATTTGTTGCCACATAAACCTAAGCTTTTTTTTCCTTTGAGATTTTTTAAAATCTTCAATATGACTACAATCACAGAAGCTACTACTACATAAGCAAGAAAGTAAAAGTGCAACTTATTATTGCTTAAATTCTAACATAGTGATTGTAAAGTATCAGCAGACCTGCAGAGACAGCAGAGTGTTGTACCTGAACATTGGCTAAGGCTATTTCATAACACCCAAAATCATGAAAAAGAATGGTACCTTTTTGGCTCCGTTTAGAGGAAAACCATTTAGTCTAGTGATACTGACTAAAGGGGGTTGCAGACAGCCTGTGGAGTTACAACTGCCAAGCTATGCGTGCTGTATGTTTGGCACACACGCGGTTGATTCCGGGCCCCTTTACCATCTGTTATTGGCTATTTCAAGCTCACAGTTTCACATGAACCAAAAGCATTAATTAGCTGTGCAGTTTTATTTACAAATGCACCCTCGTTTCAGCCTTTGATTGCTATTCAATGTTGCCTGTGCCATTGCTTTCCACAGATTCTAATGCACAGCTTGCATTATACTGAATATAAGTGATATACAAAGCAATACACTTCAGTGGAAAGGATGGGAAGTACATTTGTATATACCTGCACTGTATTTTCCATTTTCATCAGTTTCAGGGAATGGGTATACACAGTGTAGGCTACCAAGGTTTCATCTTATTTTCCACTTCTGCTGCTCTCCGATGTAAATAAAACATCCTGCTCTTAATTCCCATGATGCTGTGTTAAAAGCAACATTTGGCTTTTGGAAGAATCTGTCTAATGCATTCTCAGTCAGGCAATGGAAGGAAAATAGACGGGTGGAGGAGGTACTTCAAAAGCAGTTTTAAATGTTTACACCCAAAAGCATCAGGTCAAATGATGAAATGCATTTTTAAATTATACTACCTGCTATTTAAAGTAGATTGACATTTTGTGAATGTTTGGTGCAAATGTATCCCATGATTAATGGGAAAAAAGAAAAAGAAAGAGAAAATGTTACAAAAAAAAGCAGGCATGTTAGACGATGTTGTCTTCCTAATTTACTCACAGTAAATTAGTATTTCATTAAACCCTTGTACATTTATAATTTCGGAGATCTTAGAGTGCAGGCTGCCGTTGTTTATACATTACCAACCACCTAAGTAAACATCTGTTTTGGCCTGTGTTGGAGATACCAGAAAATAAGTCACTGTAAGCTACTGAGCTTTAATATTTATTAGTGTAAGCTTTTATCTTCAGACTGAAATCCTATAGGTTTCCAAGTTCCAATTTTACCCAAACTATAGATATTCATTCCAAAATGTACTAGGCCTTTGCAATGTATTCATTATATGCTCTGTTCTGAGCTGTTTTGCATTTATTACTCTTTGTTTTTAAACTTAATACATTTTAAATTTAAAGTAAACTATTTATTGTTTTTGTATTTAGAATGACATTGAATGACAATCTTAAAGTTGGCCAGTTAAAAAAAAATATATATATATATA